TCTTAAAGGAAGAATGTATTAGAGGAGACAAGAAAAATATATTTCACTAAGATTTTCTTCACTCATGATGTTCAAAAAGAATGGTGATATTGAAGTTCAACTACTCAAGCGACAATATTGTTGATTTGTTCATCAAAGTCTTTCCACTATAAGTTTTCTACTACAAGCTTTGAAGAATTGATGCACAAGATTGGAATGCATAAAATTCAAAGATCTCAAGGGATATCTTTAAGAGGGAGAGTAAATACACACTGTACTCTTTTTCCCTTTAACCAAGATTTTTTCCCACTGGGTTTTCCTATTGAAGGTTTTTAATAACGCAATGCATATGTCACGACCCATCTCCGTGGGCCGGACCGGCACTAGGGCCCAGGTAAGCTTAAGGCCCCCGAGGCCCGTAGTAAGCCTAAACTACTCTAGCTATACATGCCACACCAATGAATAATAACAGTCACACCAATGAATAATAACAGTAAGCCCATACCAGTAGGGTTTAAATATAATTATTATACAATCTGGCCCAAAATTTAAATATCTCAATTGAAGTTTAATTTGGGCCTAATCATGATAAGTCATATTCAGAATATGGGTATACTAAAATGCCTACGTCTAATATATAACATGTCATTCCAAAAGAACGCATACGGCAAGCCTAATTAAAATACACAATCCTATAACTGCGGAGTTCAATAATAATCAAATAATAGAATAATTACTACATCCAAATTTAAATAACAGAAATATAAAGTTTACATTTATAACTCTACGGAGAAGATTGTAGAGCTTCCGTTGGATCGGCAACTTCCTAATACCTGAGAAGTTTGGAGAGAAGGGGGTTTCCAACTCAGTGCAATAATAATTAAATAGTACACACCACACACAGTCATGCGAATTTGCCCGCCCTAATATACTGAATGAACACACAATACTGTCAGCATATGACATAACATTCAGCACTACAAACTCAAATATCATCTTCATATAATCACAAGCACGTGGATATTAGTCAGTGGAGTCACCGAATCCCCCCATGAGCCGTCTTTCCACATGGGCTCATCCTCTCACATGTTGCACCAGGAGCCGATCCCCCCATACTGCGACCGGTTTCTAATTCCTTTCACTTGTACAGCCCTCTCATTATTTTTAACATTCTCTCTATTTCTTTTCCATTTACCAAACAGAGGTACCCCGCGTCGTTCTCCATTAATCTAGATCATCAGGCGCTCGCAAACAGGAGGCTCATCCCTGCGGGCCCTGCGGGTCAGAATCTAGATTATCAGGTGGCGCACCAATAAAGAGACCAACCTTGTGGTTTTTCCATATCATACAGATCAAGCCAGTGTTGCAAACACGGGGGCGCGAATCTCCACATTTACCCGGCCTAAATTTTCATATTCATTTTTCAGGATCCATAGTCACGCTATACCATTCTCACAGACCCATGGTGACCCACTTCGTCCAATTCCACACAAAACCAAATCACAGTATAGTCACAGCACACATAATTCAGAACCAATTCATCCAATGCACAATTTTTATATAAGTTATAATTAATAATTATAATGATCGAAACATAATATATATATGATAAAATACTCATAATATGTTGTAAATATGAAAAAAAATGTAATGTTTATAAATAAGTGTTATGTAGATGCAGTGTTGATGTGCATTATTCATTATTACTCACAGTGATGGAGAGCAAGGTTCTAGCTTTGATTCTGTCCTGGAGGAACACTAAATGGACCCGGGCGATCTAAGAAATTACAAGAACGACACAAAAAGAATAATTCTATCAGACAAAATATTTATTCACCACTCTAAAAAATTTTATTTTATATTCTAACTTCTCTTTGCATTTTAAAGGAAAAGATTTCAAGAACAACACAAAATAGGAATTAATTCTATCAGAACACAATAATATATTCACCACTCTTAATTATGGTGTAATTGTATTTATATTTCTTAATTTCTCTACGTAATTAAGAATATGAAGATGTAATTCTCTTTTTCTATAATAATTTATTGTCCTTCTAACTTGTATTTTATTTTCCTACCCGAAACTTTATTTACTTTTTCTACCGAATTTCTTTTATATTCTACCGAACTTTTCCTGGCCTAAGTCAACTCCCCTTAAAAATTGAACTATCCACCTGTCACAATTATCAAACCGAATATATTCTAATATTTTCCTAAACCCACAAGTCATCTCTCATCGGGCGACCTCTACAATCAATTCAAAATTTTCCACTCTCCATCAATGCTCAAACATCTTCCACACAGATTAAAATCTTTACATTTACAATAGCTTATATCTAAACTACCTTAAATTTAAATTAACACTAAAAATTATATGAGGCTATTACCACTTACTCACATTTACCAAAATTAAAATTTAATTACATTTAATTCACTACAAAAATAATAAGTTAAATTTAATTAAACCCAACATCCATCTAACATTTAACTTAACTTAACTTAACTAAAACCTCATTTAATTAATACTAAACCAAAATTTATTTCCATTAAAATTTTTAAATTTAATTTAAACAAACTTTGTAACAATTTTTTAAAACTAATATTATTTAGGAATTAAATTCTGAATTAACTAAAATTAACTAATATCATTAACTAAAATTATAACTTAAAATTAGTTAACAAATATATTACTAATCCATTAACTAACTATTAACTAAATTTAATTTAGTAATGTAAACTAAAATAACTAAATTATTAACCCTTTAAATCTAACTTAACTAAATAAATCAATTAATTTATTCACTAAATTTTAAATTTATAACCCAATTATTAATGTTAGCCGGAAAGCTCGATTAAACCGGAATAATTGGGCTAGTGCGCGGAGGTTCGACTGGGCGGCGAGGCTGGGTGGCGCACGTTCAGCTGAGCTGCGTGGGACGCGAACACAGGCAACAAACACCTGAAAAGAAGAAAGGAGAATAGAAAGAAAACGAAAGGAAAAGCAATGAGAAGAAGAAGACAGAAGAAGAAGTTAAGAAGAGAAGTAGGAAGAAGAATAATGTTAATGGTGCTGGTGCAGTTGGACCGCGTTGGGATTGGGGAGGAGTGTGTTCTCCTGTGCCCCATTTTTGGGAGTGAAGTGACCGCCGAGCCATAATAAAAGAGATGAGACGTTTCTGAACGGGTTTGCGGTCGAACCGGTTCGATATTCGGTGGTCTGGTTCGGCCCCAAATCTAATCGCCCATTTTCAACTGGTTTTCCCGGCAATTTTACCTCGATCGTGGTTTATCGATATAACGGTTTCGCACTAAAATATTTAATAATTAAGTTTCCAAGTCACTAAAATATTAATATTAATTTCCAGGTTTTCGGTTCATTAATTTTAATTGGAAAATCTTTGAAAATATAAATTCGGGTTGTTTCAGTCTTCCCCCCTTATAAAAAAATTCGTCCTTGAATTTTCAAATAAGCAAGATAAGATCATAGTATATATGAGGGACAAAGAAAGATCGTACTCAACAAAAGAAAAACCATTACAGACGATCACTATTAGTACAAAATGTTTTACATGGAAGGAAAAAGATGGGGATAATTTCTTTGCATTTCAGCTGCCACTTCCCATGTGCACTCCTCCATCGAATGATTCCTCCATAAAACTTTAACCATAGGAATCTCCTTAGGTCGAAGTTTATGAATCTGGAAATCAAGAATGCTGATCGGTATTTCTTCATATGTCAAATCTTCACCCACCTGAATCTCCTGCGGCTCTAACACATGAGATGGATCAGGAACGTACTTTCGTAGCATGGACACATGAAATACTGGGTGTACATGAGAAAACTCGTTAGGCATGTCCAACTGATAAGCCACTTCTCCAATTTTTGCAACTACAGGATACGGTCCAATGTACCTCGGAGCTAGTTTTCCTTTCTTACCAAAACGGAGAACACCTTTCATAGGAGATACCTTCAGAAAGACCAAATCTCCCACTCCTTTCATAGGGAGATACACTTTGCATCAAAGGACCAAATCTCCCACTTGAAATTTGTGAAGGATGGACTTGAGTTGATAAGCTATCTTGTTGACGAGGCACCTTCTCTGTGCTTAGGGTCAGGAGTAGCTGTCCTGCTGTTTCTGTGATCCCCATAATAAGGCCATGTCCCTTAATCCTGTCCTGATATTGATAGGAAACCTTTTCATATGTGATCTGAATTGAATCAACTCAGGTCCTACCAGTTGTCTATCTCCTATTTCCCCCCAACAGATAGGAGACCTGCATTTCCTGCCATACAAAGCTTCATAAGGCGTCATGCCGATACTTGCCTGATAACTGTTATTATAAGCAAACTCGATCAATGGTAAGTGCGTGTCCCAAAACCCTCCAAAATCTAATATGCACATCCGAAGCATATCTTCCAGTGTTTGAATAGTCCTCTCAGATTGCCCATCAATCTGCGGATGGAAGGCTGTACTAAAGTCGAGCCGGGTCCCCAAAGCCTTCTGTAACGACTGCCAAAATCTCGAAGTGAACTGCGTTCCCCTATCCGAGATGATAGATACCGGAACTCCATGAAGGCGCACTATCTCTTTAACGTACAACCTTGCCAACCTGTCAGCATTATAAGAGGATCTCACTGGTAAGAAATGAGCTGTCTTGGTAAGTCGACCCAGCATTTACTATTTTGGATCTCACGGGTTTATGGAAAATAGAAGCAATGTCATTGGAGTAAGTCGATCCACTTATCCACCCCAAATTGATATTTCATAGCCTCCGGCGTTTTCGGTATCCAACCACATAAGTCCATAGTTCCTCTCCCCATTTCCATTCTTGGTATCGGTAATTTGTTGTATTAATCCAGAGGTCTTTGATGCTCTGTTTTACCTTGCTGACAAAGCGGAGGCATTGACACGTATTCTGCTCTACGCTCCGCTTAATCATTCCGTCCACCAATAATTTCTCCTTCAAATCCCGATACATTTTAGTGGTCACCCGGATGCACATTATAAAGCAGTCATAGTGGGGCTTCATTCTATAGATTTCCCTTCTGAGATTTATTTCTCCAACATCAGACCAACACGGAGTACCTTTCTCTGAAGTACGCGCTCGATTGTTCTGCACAAAAGTCTCCTGATCCGCCAGTAATTACTTCTTGCAAAATATCTTTTGCATTTGCGGGTCTCTGCCTTGAGCGCCTTTAATTTCTGTCAAAACAAACATTGGTCTTAATTCTGAAATGAGCCAACAAACAGGGTTTGAAGAGCAGGATATATTTTCTTAAAGTTTAAGGCCTTCATCAGCATGCCAATCCACCAATTTAACACCGAATATAACCGGCCTTCTTTTCAAAAATCTCGAAATGTGAAAAGCAATTAGCTTACTCTTACAAAGACTTTCGACTTAGGCATCTGCTACTACATTTAGCCTTCCCAGCTATGTATTCTGCCATTGGTAGACAATCTATAATCTTAAGGACCTCCATCCATCGCCTCTGCCCTCTCGAGAATTAGATTCGTGAACTCCTGCTTTCAAAAAATTTATACTTTAGACTATTTAGTGGATCAGTGTATATTTCCAGCAGGATACACCATACAAGTTTTAATGCCTCCATAATTGTGTTAGTGCGAAAATGATTGCATTGCCCATTTCACAAATCTTTGTGAGGATAATTCTGTTCTATGCTTCTGTTCAACTGTCTGGGGAGCATACGCAATGACTCGACCTGATGCCTCTGCATTAATACCCATCATCCCAACCCCCACTCTGGATTGCAATCACAAAACACTACTGTATCCTTCATCACCTGATGTGCAGGCTAATACCGGAGCTGTTGGTTTTCAAGCACTCTCTTCAAACTTCTGAAAATCTCGCTTTCTACAAGAATCGACCCAGTGTACAAACTAGCATTCTTCTGGGTCAATTTGGTTAATAAATTTATTTTTTCTGTTTATTTGTTTTTTAATAGGTCTTTTTTAGTGCTGTCTATTCGAGAAAAGGTCTTGCACAAAACGGCTATAGTAAGCCCAAGGCCATAAGAGAGCCCAGAAAGCTGTGAAATCTTCTTGTGAAACAAGTAGTCGGTCTCGTGCATATCGATGTAAATTGCCTTCAATCTTCATTAAGGTCAACCATGATTTCCCATCCTATAGATAACTACATGCCCAAGGAGACATTTTTACACTTTTCTAGCACAAGAGAATTCTACATTTGGACTAATAATTTAGCATACAGACTCTCGATAGCTCCCTCATAAGTTTTGTAGCACCATTTTCTTTCAGATGATGTATACCTTGATCTGTTTTAGTATCGTTAGAAAAGAATCAAAACTAGATATGTCATCTATGAAAGCACATTTTTCACAAAACCTGTCAAGTATGGCTTGAAAGACACACGGTTCAATCAGATCCATGAAAGCTGTTTAGGGCGTTTTGGTTGATGTCCGGGAAGGGACATGACAAGGAATTCATATTGGGCCATTACCTGTTTCTTGAAGCCGTTTTATTGGAAATGTCTTGTTTAACTCTGATTTTTTATTTCTAAGGTCAATCTTTCGAGGAAACATGAGCCCTTTTGCAGTTTTGATCGAATAGGTCATCAATTCTAGGGAACGTGCGTATTTGTTTCACAGTTCATCCAATTATTCTAATTGCCTAATAATCAATGCATTAGGCCGAAAGCGAACCACCTTCTCTGCTTTACAAACATCACCTTATTCAATTGCCTATAATCAATGCATAGGCGAAGCGAACCATCCTTTTTCTTCACAAACAGGACTGGAGCACCCCAAGGCGAAGTGCTTGGTCTGATGAAGCCCTTATCCAACAGTTCCTGCAACTGTTCTTTCAACTATTTTAATTTCGCTGGTGCCATTCGATACGGTGGCATGGAAATAGGTTCTGTGCCAGGAATCAGATCAATACAGAATTCAATTTCCCTGTCTGGAGGAAGTCCCGGTAATTCTTCTGGAAACACATCGACGAACTCATTCACGATCGGCATACTTTCTACGTTACGAGTTTCCGTGGTGGTGTCCTTAACCAACGCTAAGTACCCTTGACAGCCTTTTCTCAACAGTTTCCTAGCGCTGATTGCGGAAATCAAATTATAAGGAGCTATATTCTTGTCCACCCTATAAACAAGTTTCTTGCCATCCGGTAGATTAAAAATAATTTCTTTCCTTTTACAATGGACCTCCGCATCATACTTTGCTAACCAGTCCATTCCCAAGATCACATCAAAATCTATCACATCTCATCTATTGATAATTAGGTCTGTCAGGTAAAAAATTACGCCTTCTTAAGAATAATATGGTACTAGTTGTACTGATGACTGAATCAGTGTGTTCCCAAAAATAGTTTTCCACTTACGGTCGATATTCATCCAAAGGAACGTCTATATAAACTGATATGTCCGGCTACATACAATGGGTTCTACTTTCATAGCAAACCTTTGGTCCTAGGAGATGCAAATTGAAACTCGGGTGGCACCAGGTCAAATTAATACTCGCTGCTTTCCAAAGATAAACAAATTAATGAAGTACCTGCCACCACGGCATTAGATGCCTGAGCATTCTCCCGTGAGTCCCAAATGGTAAAAGTCGGAGGCCGTGCTCCAGACTCAGCATGCAAATTTTGTCCCCTGAACATCTGGCCTCTTTGCCACCCTAATCCTAAAAGAACCACGGCCTGCTGGCCAAGATAAGTCTTAGTACCAGAAGCTGACCTGGGAGTGTAGGAGAAAGGAAGGGTCTGGACACAACTAACCCATGGAAGACTGGGGTTGGCACAATTTATCGCTACGAGTGAGAGGTCTGGACACACTACCCATGGAAGACTGGGGTGGCACATATCGCGACGGAGGAAATGGGCAGTCTCTAGCATAGTGTCCCATCTGATGACACCTAAAGCAGGCATTAGGATCAAGATCGCAGTCTCCTTTGTGAGCCTTGCCACACCTGTGACAAACAGTCACACTCGGTCTGCTGCTACCTGAACTATGACCACTACTGGAACCACCTGAATGAGTACTCTTTCTTGGCCACTGTCTCCTTTTATCTTTTCTTCTACCAAAATTCCCTCTGCCTTGGAGGTGAGAACTCGAAGACTGAGCACCCATAACGAAGGATCCACTCATTCCTGGTACGCCTAGAGTCTCAAGCGGAGCTGTAGTTCTATTACCCTTTCTCCCGGAGATAACTCCATCAGAAATGTATTTAGCCTCCATTTGCCTGGCTAAATCTACCATAGCGTTGAAATCTTGTCCCCTCTGCTGGAATAGAGTCACGTACACAGCATTCAACCCGCTGATAAATCTGTATACCTTAGTGGCCTCATCAGGTACAGACCCCGGAGCATACCTGCTCAATTCTATGAATCTGGTAGCATACTCATCTACAGACAAATTTCCTTGAACCAGAGATTCAAATTCCCTCATTTTTGCCCTCCTAGTTCCTTCTGGTATGAAGCGGTCAATAAAGAGAGAAGAAAATTGCTGCCAATACATCCCTTTAACCATAGGCAAAACATAATCTCTGAACCACATTTTAGCCATACCCTCCATTTGGCGGCCGGCAAATATGATGGCTCTCTCATCATCACAACCCAACTCAGTGCAGAACTCTCTGATTCTGGCTAGAAAGGAATGAGCATCTTCAGTGCCTGTAAACTTAGGTGGTTTGTAACGAATGAACCTGTCATAAAGGTTATCATTAGCAGCTCTCGGAACAGTAGGTGGTGGAGCCGGCTGAATAAAAAGGTATCATTTAGCAGCTCTCGAACAGTAATGGATGGTTGGAGCCGCTTGAAATGGTTTTTGAGATTAGTCTATAGAGGTCAGGCATGAGGTAGGAATGCATCTGTTGTTGTTGGTTTGCTGTTGAAGTCTGAAAGAACGTTTAGCTAGTTTGTATCAACATGCGTTCAGAGCCGTCTATAGCTCGCGGAAGTCTGTTGCTGTATCAACATGTCGTTCATAGCCGCTATAGCTCGCTGAAGTCCAGACA